GGCCCTTGAGCTTGCCAGGCAGGTACTTAGACCACTGAACTATCTCTCCAGCCTGGCCTATGCGTTTTAAAAAATAACTTCTTGGTTCAACTTTTGTAGGTCATATGTGTTCAGAAACTTCCCTAGTTCTTCAAGATTTTCCTATGGATTCAGGTTTTCTTTTTTGACAGAACTGAGGATTGAACTCAGGCCCTTGCACTTGCCAGGGAGGTGCTTATTCCACTGAGCCATCTCCCTGGCCCCTATGGATTTTAATGCCTCATTTTCTAACTTTAGTTTTATTTATTTGGGTCTCCTTTTTTCCTTGTTTTGTCTAACTAAAGGTGTGTCAATTTTGTACAACATTCAAAGGACCAACTGTTTATTTTGTTACTCTTTTATACTGTTTTTTAGATTTTATTTTGTTTCTGGTGTGACTTTTTTATTTCTTCCTTCCACTAATTTTGAGTTTGTGTTTGTTGTTGTTTTTCTAAGTTTTTGGGAGACAGTAGGTTGTTTGAAATTCTTCTACTTTTTGATGTAAGCATCCATTATTGAATCCCATGGGCTTTAATATGCTGTATTTTAATTTATTTCAAGATTTTTTAGGTTTACCTTTTGATGGCCCCAATAACCAATTGTTCACTCAAAAGTATAAAGTCATTGTGATTGACTTTCTAATCTTTCCATTGTACAGAAAAATTAACGGAAATGATTAGAAATTTTTTAATTTAAGACATCTTTTGTGGCCAAGGATATAGCTCAGAGGCTGAAGCACTTACTTGGCAAGCGTAAGGTCCTGAGTTTGATCCCTGATACAAAGAAAAAAGAAAAAACAAAGATAGAAACAAAGACTTGTTTTATGGCCAAACATATGGTCTGCTCTAGAGAAAATTCCTTATGATGATGAAAAAACTATTCTGAAAAAAAAATTAAAAAAACCAAAACTATTCTGCAGCTGTTGAGTGGAATGTTCTATAACTAAGTCCATTTGTTCTATGGTATAGTTACATTGCTTGTTTCTTTATTGATTTTTAAAAATCTGAATTATCTATCCATTGGTGAGAGTGGGGTATTAGAATCCCCCACTTTTACTTTATTGGTGTCTACCTCTTCTTCTGGGCCTAATCATCTGTTTTATAGAGTTGAGTGTCTCAAAATTAGATTCATATAAATTTATAATCATTGTATCTTATTGATGAATTGATTGTTTGATCATTATATAGTGACTGCCTTTGTCTCTGATAGTTTTTGTCTCAAAGTCTATTTTATTAGATGGAATTATAGTAATTCCTGCTCATTTTAAAATTCTATTTGGCTGGATTTTTTTTTTTTTTTTTTTTTTTTTTTTTTTTTTTTTTTTGGTGGTACTGGGGATTGAACTCAGAACCCTGTGCTTGCCAGGCAGGTGCTTATTCTACTGAGCTATCTCCCTGGCCCTTTGCCTGGATTTTTCCTATCAGTTTCTGTGTATAGTTGCTGTAAAGTAATATGTTACTTGTAGGTAACATGTTGTTATGTATTTTTAAAAAAAATCTTCATAGGCAATGTGTATCTTTTAATTGGAGTAGGGTAGTCTATTTATATTCAGTATTATTACTTAATATTATGGATGTATGTTTGTCATTTTGTTGGCTTTTTGGTACATATTTTCTTTTTTCTTCTACTCAGCTTCGTGCCTTGATGGATTGCTATGCTGATAACATTGGATCTTTTCCCATTGCTCTTTACTGTATTTATTCTTCTAGTGGAATTTGTATTTCCACAATAGTAGTTATTTCTTTGTAACCTCTGGATCTGGAACTGCCTGATGTATCTTTTGTAAGGCTGGTCTGGTGGCCATGAAGTTCCTAAGTTTTTGCATGTTTTGGAAGGTCTTTATTTCCATACTACTTATGAAGAATACCTTTGCTGGGTATAGCAATATTATTTGGAAGTAATCTCTCTTCAGAACTTGGTGCATGTCATTCCATGCCCTTCTGGGTGTAGGGTTTCTGCTGATTAATCTGCTGCTAGTCTGCTGGGATTGCCCTTAAACGTGACATGGTACTTTATTTGGGCAGATTTTAAATTTTTTTCTTTTTCCTATACATTCGACAGTTTGACTATAATATATTATGGAGAAGTTTTGTCTGCTCATGCCCATTTGGGATTGTGTATTATGTCAAGAAACTTTTCTGCTGTTATGCATTAAATGAGTTTTCTATGCCCACGATCTTTATCTGTTGGCCTTCAAGTATTCCAGAGTTGCGGATGATTGTTTAATGGTGCCCAGCGATCTTGAATGGCCTCTTTCTTCTTTCTTATCCTCCCCTCTCCCTGAATGTGATACTTCAAAGACCTGTCTTCAAGCTCTTCTTGATCTAGTCTGTTGCTGAGGCTTTTTACTGAATTTAAAAATTTGACTTCTTGAGGTTTTAATTTGCGAGATTCCTGTCTGGTTCTTTTGCAAAGTCCCAAACTGTCTTCTGCATTTCTCATTTGTATCCTGCACTGCCTCCTAATTTCATGTAGCAGCCACAGTACACGCTCTGTGGTGCCGACCCCCACCGCTGACAGCAGCGTAAGATGAGACAGCAATGGCTGCTGGGAGAACTGCGAGGCTAGGTAGCAACAGAAGTTGTAGTGTTCCGTCCCTCCCTGCTCAGCAGCAGGGCCTCGGGCCTTCTGGTTATCCACACCTGGGAAGAAGGTAACAACACAGGCTCTCCCGCCCCACTCTCAGCAGCAGTGCTTGCCTGGGAGTGAGGAGATGAGGGCCACAGCTGGACACTGGCAGGCTTTTGCCCCAGGCTCCCTTTTGCTGCTCATGGCCAGGAACAGGTGATAGCTGGGGCTTTGTCCCTGTCACTCCCTCATCTGGAGGGCCCCTGGACAAGAGCTACAGTGGAGCTAGCCAACACTGGGCAGAGTTTCTTCCTGTTATTATCTGGTTCATTTTGAGCACTTTTTTGACCATAAGATAAGGTCATGGTTTCCTTTTGAAAGTTCTTTTTCATTTCTCTCTCTCTCTCTTTTTTTTGGTACTTGGTATTGAACTCAGGACCTTACACTTGCCAGGCAGACTCTTATGCCACTGAGCTATATCCCTTTATGTGCCTGATATGCAGTGTTATATGAGCATTAAAGAATTAGATATTCATTCCATCTATCTTAATCTCTCTGTGTGGTTGTCTTTCCCAATCAACACTTTTTATTTTTAAAGTTATTTTTCTATAATTTAAACTTTAATGTTGTATAATTACAACAAATACAAATGTTGTATAATTTAAACTTTAAGTACTTTAATGTTGCTCTTTAAGTACACATTTTCTAAAGATAGATGTTTTATCTTAGTACAAAATTAGCTGTATTCTTTCAAATTTTAAATGTGGTAGCTTCCGCCCCCTAGTTTGTAATTATAGTGTTTATTCTCCATCTTCCACTCAGCTAAATCCCCAGCCCCTTCTCCATTTGATCTAAGGATTACTATTTTTCACATTTGTAAATGTCATAAATGATTCATAGTCTCTGGGACTTTCCCATTTATTTCTACTTTTATTGTATTGTAGTCTAACTGCTTATATCTATGTGTAATATTTCATTGCTCTAAGTATAAATGTTAGTGATTGCTTATCTTTACTGTGCATTGTACTATTCATCATGATAAAGTGGCATTAAAAATCTTCAGTGATTTTTTTTTTAAATTTCTAATTTAGCTGACCTTAGTATCAGTAATCCTGCCTCCCTTTTGTTGGTCTCTGCTTGGTATGTGTCATCTTTATTTCAAAAGTTATTTCTTCTCAGTGATAGGTTCTGGCCCTAGTATAAATCCTGAATTGTTATGGTGGTCATCTAACATGGCTGAAGCCATTAAAACAACAGCTTATCTTCCCAGAGACCACCTCCCTCCTTCTTCTCCAACTCATCCCAGGTTATAATTTCTTTTCACCTTTCCCGCCACCACAGGGAAGACTTCAGTCAGCTCCTCAGAGATTTCTAAACATCCCCTCAAACTCCACCCCTACCAAACGTCCATAAAAGCCTCAACTTTCTTGTCTCAGGGCGGAGGATCTATCTGCCCATCTGCCCTTGATCCTCTCCATGTCTGTGGAGTTAATGAAAGCTTCTTTTCTCTTTACTGTCTCTTTACTGCTGAAAAACCTATCACTTAGTTCAGGAATGACTGAAGTAAAATATAACTTGTCACTTTTTAAAAGCCAAGTCTGGCAACCTTTTTAGTAGAAAAAGTAAATTCATTCCCTTTTTTGTGTGTGCTGGCTGTTATTTAATGTAGTCACAGCGCTTCATTTTGTTTTGTATGTGTCTTGATGCTATTATTTCTTACATTTTCTTTATTTTGCTCCATCACATTTTTTGTCACTTTTTCTGCTGACAATTTAAGTTTATTCATAGAAATTTTAGTCTGTTACATTTTAGAACTTGTGCCTTTATTTTGTTGCTACTGTAAATGGTTAACTAGACTCTATGGGGATTCTGCCTAGTCTTGAATGTCACAGTTATGTAAGCATGTAATCACCTTCGTCTTCCATGGTCTAGTCAAATAATCTGGAATGTCATTGCTGGGACTATAATTTTTATGATATGAATATTATCTCTTAAGAATTTCTTCTTAGTAGTTACATTGAGATTCCTAAGCATATGAACAAGTCCTGAAAGTGACACAGAATAAACAGTAAGTTTTATTTGGCTTGTTTTTTTCCTACTCATTCTTCCAGATATATACCAGTCAGTTTTGCCTAGTTTGGTGGTAGTTGAGATCACCACAATACTCTGTGTATCAGGGAAGGTAGATGTGTCTGTGTTAAGCCTTTACAGTACTTCGATGTGAATGCCTTTGTGTTGGCCATGCTCCTGGGTCCACACAATCATCTTTCTCCTGCTACGCCGATGCTTGTTTACAGATTCTCTCCTAGACCTTCCTAGCCTATGGATAGCCAAGTGTGCAAGTGTTTCCAATGTGACCCGCACTCTTACAGTGGGTGGCTTTCTGCCTTATGTCTTTTGTCTTTTTGGCTCAGGCTTTGGAAGACCGGGTCTGGGAGCTCCTGCAGGAAGCGGACAGGACTGCTGAAGAGCATAAGGATCAGAGTCAGGTCTACGATGCCATGGCCCACACGCTGGGGGAGGCGTGGACAGCGCTGGTCTCCATGCTTGAGAGAAGAAGGGAGCTCCTCAGCTTGACCTCGGAATTTTTTGAAAATGCCTTGGAGGTTCGTATTTTTTAAATTTTTCTTTTTCTCAAAGCAAATAAAGAGTATTCCAGAAAATATTTCATTTCTGTGAGTAAATATTGTAATCAACTTTTTTAAAGTGATAGAACAGCTGTCAAAAAAAAAAAAACCACCCTGTTAAAATTCTATATGTAAGTCTTCAAACAAAAAGTAAGGAGAGTTGGTTAAATTAAGTAAAAGCTGGGCCTCTTACGAATCACTTTGATTTATTTCCCTCCTTAGAACACAGAAATACAACTACTAATCAGTTATTTGGTTATAGGGTCATTAGGAAACTCTGGTGTAGAGCACTCTTACATTTACATATTATCCTCTAAAAGTTGGAGGATAATATTTCTTTTGCTGATAATAAGGTAGCAACAGCAGAATAATGTTTGGCCTATAAATGTGTCATTATATTGTGTATTTTTTAAAGTTATGCGTAGTTAACTTTCCATAGTTTAAGCCCATTAAAACATAAGGGAAGGAAAAAGTTCTGGATATAAGAAGGCAATTTTGGCTATCATTTGTCTTCTATTCTGCAACTTCTGTGAAGCTTCAGGATCAAAACTGGGAGACTCAAAGACCATTAACAAAAGTGGTGTTAAATTCTGTACAAGTCAGTTATTGGAAATTTCACTTCTGCCTTCCCTGTCAAGCGGCGGCACATTTATTCTGATGGGAGAACCCTGCTTCATTATGATAAAGCGCTAGCTTTGAAAACTATGACTTTTTAAATGTAAAATTCAGGACTTAAAGCCAAAACAATGAAGGAAAGAAGATTAGAACTAGAACATGAAAATCGAGGCCAATGATCTCATGCATCATGAATTTATTGAAAAGCAAAAACGAAAAGCAAAAACTTATCGTAGCTTCAGAGTTTTGTCCTTCACAACTTGCACTCTTTAAGTCCAGCTCCCAGCTCCTTTTACAGGACACCTTGGGAAAAGTCCGGTGCCAACGCTCCTCCCGTGCAAAGAAATAAAGCGCCTGCGACATACTTAGAGCAGCCACGTTATAGACAGAACAAGGTCACTGCACCTTAGCAAGAGAAGCAACTCATCAACCGCCTTTTAAAGCCAGCTGTTCTGAGTGCAGGAAGCTGTCTTTTTCCTGACACCAGGCTCAGTATTTGTTTCTCTCCATGTTTTAATGTTGATGCTAGTTGATTTTCTCCATAATGCGGAAATTATTTGCAGAGATCACCAAGGAGTGAAAAGAAATGCTCAGCCAAGCCACTTAATCTCGAGTAGTCTCGAGCTCTTAATCTGCACACAGGGGTGAACTTTTGTTTGATCCGGTGAAATGACAAAATGTTCCCGTGTTATCCTGTTTCCAATTCTGTGGCCCACGTGAGCAAGCAGAAAGCAAATGACTACATAATCTTCAGGCCCCTTTTCTATGGTGCAGCAGTTTTTATTAGTGACAAAAATGAAGAGGGTGGAATGAATGATAAACACTTTAAAATATTCCCCTGTTGCCATTTCTACTCTGGACAAGCTGTGAAGGAAAAACATTGTATATTGTAAGTGGGAACATAAGACAAAAGTCAACAAAATATCAGGGAAACTTTTTCAAGTATTGTTTTTTTTTTTTTTAACTTTGACTAAGAATTTGAAATATAGCTGTAAACTATACAGTGACTCCAAAACATTTTGTAATGTACCAGGGAAAACAAGCCCCCTGGGGGGAGTATTTTGGTTTGTTTTATTTTATTTTATTTAGTTTAAGGTGTGTGTGGTTTTTTTGTCTTTGAAGACTATCTATAATATCAGTTATTAAAAATCGAATGAATAAGCAGGTGGCAGATGTGCGAATATGATCCTTATTGAAATATATATATGAGAGTTCTTTAGAAATATAAAACAAATGATTGTACAGTTGAAGATTGATAGAAGAAAATTCTGGTGCACAACTTGAACCACCGGGGAGGTATTTTCTTCTGGAACCCTGAGTTACAGTTCAGGAATCCTACACGCACACAACGTCAGGTGCACCTTGGGTCATCTTAACAGAACCACAGAGGTGTCTCTGCCTTCCAAAAGGGGTCAGGCACTTCAGTCTCCTTCCCCATTCCTGCCCTTTATCACTGGATTTTATGCAGCTGTTGAAGTAATCAAAATACACTACCTATTGAAATACCATATTAACAATCTACAAATTAAAAAATAATAGTGTAGAGGAATTTAAAGAAGAGGAGAAGCACAATGGTGGGCTTCTCTGTCTTTTTTCTTCTTTTCCTAACCTGACCCAGAAGCTACTGCATTAGTTAGCATGACTGTCATAAAAATCTCCGCTGCATTTTAAGCGCTAAAGCAAACCGGCTATTTGTCTGCCACTGTGGTGAGAGCTGTAATAACATATCCAAGTACGTATGCTTCTCCTAAAATTTGTCTCTCAAATTACCTCCCTGAGATTCTTAGCTTCACTTCAAGCATCCCTTCCTCTCCCAAATACTTAATGGAGAATAATAAGAAAGTACCATCGTGTTGCTCACATCTAGGGTGTTAAATTACTGTACATTCTGTTTAGAAATGGAAGAAGACATTTTCTACCTTTTATTCTTGCTCCAGCTAATCTCATTTGTATTTACATAAATAATATATATATATGTCGACAAAAATGCAAATAAAATTACAATAATATCTTAAAAGCCAAACATTTACCTCACTTCATCTGTCCCTAATCCCATTCCTTCTTATAAAGGCAAATTTGGTGTGCATGTTTATAGACCATTTTCTATATAAAATATATGTATATATTTGCTTTGCATTAATAATAGGATTAAACTATATATTAGCCTGAAATTGTGCATTTTTACTTCTAAGTTTAATGAGAGGGGAAAATAACTATCTGAACCTCTAAGTGAATTAAGTCAAATTTACTTGTCATTTTACTTGAATCCAACCTTTTGTCGGTTTCTTAGCAAACTTTCTGCTTATTCTTTGAGAAACTGCCTTAAGAGTATGGAAAGCAGAAGGATTTATTACACAGAATACAGTAATTTTGGTTGCAAAATTTAATAGACATTTGAACAGTAAACAAGTCAATTTATTTCAGCATACATGATATATTTCTAGGAATTAAAGAAATCCAAAGAACCATGAAATATTGTCAATTAATTATACCCAAAGAGACGCAAATACCCTAAACCAGCACACACACACACACACACACACACACACAACACACTGCACTCACATATGCACACACATGTGTGTGTGTGCACAAACACACACATACACACACATATAAACACAGAGAATCAGATAGGTTGTCGGTTCATGAAAAACACTTAAAAGAAGTAACCAGAAGCAGCACTTTGGTCATTCTTGCATTCATACACCTTTCCCCTGTGTTTGTATTGTAGTTTGCTACTAAAATAGATCAAGCTGAAGATTTCCTCCAGAATCCTCATGAGTTTGAGAGTGCCGAGGCCTTAAAATCACTTCTTCAGCTTCATGAACATCATACCAAAGGCAAGAAATATATTTGTTCTTCACCTAAGTTTAGAAGCTTTAAAAGATGGTACTGTGAGGATGCTTGTATGTAACAGTGTGTGTTTAATTTATTCCTTATGCGCACATCAACTTGTTTCAACAAATGATAAGCAGAACTGTATTTTTGTTCAGCTTGTGAAAGAAGGCACTGGCTGTGCGTGATGTTAGGGGATGTAGGAGAAGGAAGATTCGTTGTCTGGTCTGCCAGGTTTGGATTCCTGAGGACGGCATCTATGTAACCTTTGCTCAGCTGTTATTATTATTATTATTATTATTATTATTATTATTATTATTATGTTATTATTGAAAGATACCTGGGATGAGTTCATGTTCTCTAAAACCAAAGAATGAATTTTATTTTATTTTTTTAAATTTATTTATTTATTTTATTTATGTGTGTGTGTGTGTGTGTGTGTGTATGTTTGTGTGGCCAGCTCAGCCTGCCTGGGGGCGGGGCTGGCTGGCATGTGGTGCTGGGGGATTGAACCGTGGTCCCTGTGCTTTGCTAAGCTTGTTCTAAGTAGGTGCTTTAGACCACTGAGCCATCTCACCAGCCCAAGAATGAATTTTAGAAACAATGGAAGTTAAGAGCAGAATATATTTATTAAGGGAAAGAAAGCTTCTGTCTGAGAGAAGGACAGAAGGGGATCCATGTGAGTTGCTTCCTTGCTCTTCCTTGCTCTTCCTTGGCCCCGCATAGGTCCTCAGGAGATGCTCTGTTGAATTCAGGGAATGTTCCTTCCAAGGGTCAGTGAATGAAGGTGAACTTTACATAGTAGCTGAGACTAAGGCACGCTCTCTCACTACTACAGAGAGAGAGAGAGAGAGAGAGAGAGAGAGAGAGAGAGAGAGAGAGTGAGTTTTTTTAGATAAAAGTTTCATAGAGATTCCTAACTTCCTTTGAACACCTATAAAGAACTATAAAGATAATTTAGTTGCAAACAAAAATTTGTATACCACTAGGACCAGCCAGGATTGCAAAAGCAAGGTATTTGTAGAAAGATAGCTGTTTACCTTCATCTTTGTCTATAGAAGTAGGGTAGATAAGTAGGTAGGAGAAGTCAGTTTTTTCTTCCTAATATGTCTTTAGTTAGAACTGACCATGAGTGAAATGACTTCCTTGATTTATTTGTCCCAGTTCTAACTTGACTTCTAACCCCACAACCCTGTGCACACTAGGCAGGAATGAAAGGTGATTTTTAAGGTATATTATATTTATAGAACTCTCCAAAGGACCCTGGATAGTAGATCACTATGGTTAATTACTTAATACAAAGGCAAAGATTAAGGGTTCAGTCTTGCCTGTACACATTTTATGAGAGCCTACCAGATACACTTACTGCATTGTAACCTGTGGGCTCTGTAGGGCTTCTTGGTGATGAAGATTGTTCACATGCTTAAGGATTTTGCCGCAAAGTAATGGCGCCCCATTTTCACAGAGCGGTAGCTGTCTAGCTGGGTTCCACCGGAGTGGGCAGAGTCACATGAAGTTCATGCCAGGGGGTGAGAAGGTGAACGGTTTCTAGGTTAACTGCAGTGGGTTCTGGGGTCTCAGTTCAGTCTTCATCCACCAACATAGATATCACACAGCAATTCTGCCTCTAGAAACCTGACAGTGATGGAGGCTTCTGTGGAAGAGGTTTGTTACTAAGGCGATACAATGCAGGATTTTTCCAGAAGGACTGGAGTTTAGGGAAGTGGGTACTGTTCCACACATATTTGGAGATGGAGCTAGAAAGGTAAAAAGGTGTAAATATCATCCTGTTGGCATGACTGCTGGGTCTGGAGAAATGCCAGGGTGTGTGGTGCATTCTGTTTTTGTTTACAGGCCTTGACACTTGTCAGTTACACTGTGCACAGTGGAACTGACATCCTGCTTCTCAGGTGTCTTTAAGAGTCAACTTGGCCTCCTCCTAGTTTGGGAGTGGATAAAAATGCTAGCCAAGGCAGGAATGACTGTGAATGCTGTTACTCTCAGGCCTTTGAGAGGCATAGGCAGGAGCATCACAAGTTTGAGTACAGCTTAGGAAATTCAGCCATTCAGCAAGACACAAAGGCTAGAGATGTAGCTTAGTGCAACAACCCTTGATATAAGAATGCTGGCCAAACAAACATTTACTTGAAAGAAGGTATGGCAGCAATTGGTATGTCATGACAAGCAGTACATATATAGAAGGTTAGAATGACAGGTATTCCAAGCATGACCCTACAATTACACATTGCTAACTTCAGTGCAGTTGCTTAGTTCACAGGTATTAGCGTATATAGTTAGTCAGGGTGAGAATCCTACCAATTAACTGCTAGTTTCAAAAACATGCTGAAGATTCTCAGGATCATTGTCTTACCCATCTTGTGCATATAAATGTATGGCTTTGCCCTTGTCATGTTTCCTAGCTTTTCTCCTTGCCCTCTCTTCATTGTCTAATCCTCAAATTCTCATTTTCTTTTTAATTGTGTTATATCTTTCTATTTTTATTTCTTCTTCTGAGTTCTTATACTAGGGAGACTATACAATATTTACACATGTGGGTCTGGTTTATTTCACTTATGAGTATATCTTCAAGTGGCATCCACTTGAATATAAAGGCTTCGAGTTTATCATTTTTTGTAGCTGATTAATACTCTA